GGGAGCAGAGGGAAAAAGCATCCACCTTCACTGAGAGCAAGAGAGAAACTAAATTCAAAACAAAATCCTTAAGGTGTGGCAGGAACAATGTGATGATCAAGACAGCAGAAAACACAGTGGGGGGTAACAGAGTGGAAGTGATAACATCACGTCTCAGAACTGCTCATGCAGGCCTTAGATCTCTTTTTTGGATGTAGAAACATGAAACGGGGACTTGTAGTTATTCAGCTGGAATCAGTGGAGAATGTTTTATTAGAATGTAACAAATATTCAGAGGAACGTCAGCATTTAATGACAAAATAAAACAACAAGAAGAAGCAAATAAATCCTCTAAGGGAAATGGGGATACAGGGAAAGAGATACTGTGCTGCTGTGCCTTATTCAGTTACACCTTTTTGATTGTTTCCATGTGTGAATGTAGACCTAAAGGTTCATAAAGAAATACAGCTTAATAAAGATAATAACTGGGTAAGTTTTGTAAATGATATGTGACGCCTTTACAGTTATATATACAGATGGTTCAAAAGATTTAGTTTTGGGTAAAACAGGATTTGCTTAATCCTGTCCACTGTCCACACATTTAGCTGTGTGTACAGTGGAAATGTTAGCAGTAAAGAGTTCTTATATGTTCAGATTCATTATCATCACTAACTTTAAATGTCTCATGTGAAAGTCGTATGGAGCTGATATATGAGATTCATGAAATGATATTTAGAATGAGACAAGCTCAAATAAAGATTAGGTTTATGTGGACAACTGCTCCTAAAGATTTTGAGGGGAACGACATGGCAGATCATTTAGCTAAGATGTCTTTAAAACAAGGTAAAATTATGGAAATAACATATTGTAAGTCTGAAATAAAATCTATTATTAAGAGCAAAGTTAACTATGAATGGCAATAATTGTGGGAGGAAGGAACTAAACGTAATTTATTTCATGTACAGAAGAAAGTAGGAAATATGGAAATAATTGGAGGAAATCAAAAGGAACAAGTAGAATATGACAAGATTATGGCTCAGACATACAGAATTAAATAAAACTTTACATTTGATAGGAAAACACCCAACAGGTTATGAGGGTGGTATGGATGTAAAATCCTGTGTGAAAAGTACAGGCTAAGTAGAGAAAAGTTAAAACAAGAAATTAGGAAATATGATGTGGAGACAGAATGAATATTAGTTCAACATAATAAGATAAACAAGGCAGTTATAACATTTCTGAAGGAAACAGGATTGTATAAAAGAATTTCTGCTGGGGGGCCAAATGCTCCGGTCCCCACTCCAGCACAGTAGATGGCGATAATGCATCTTAATGTTGGATGTCACCCGCCATTAAAAATCAGAAGAAGAAAAAGAAGCGTCTCTCCTTCTTGTTGTCTCGCTGAAGCCAACATGGCGGCTCCTCTGGAGGTGGTAATCAGCAGCGATTCGGGCTCCCAGCTCTGGAACTGCACCGTCTTCGACCTCCACAGCGGCTCCAGCCTGCTCTCCTACCGGGGAGGGAACTCTGCGGCCCGGAGCCTCGCCGTCCTGCGGGGGGAGTTTCTGCTCAGCGCGCAGCTGGGGAAAAACTTCATCAATGTGTGGGAGATCCAGAGGAAGGTAAGGACCCGGCCGAGCAGAGCCGAACCGAGCCGAACAGCCCTGCTAAGCGTTCCCGGACCAGCACACCGAACATCGAGCCTCATATAGCGCGAAAACTCAGAGTCCCGACAGACACCGGAGAGTCCAAGCCGGTACCAGATGAGCCGGATTTTAAAAATCCCGCTTGCTTCCAGAGAGGAATTCAGACAGAAACCGAACCTGATGGTTCTTTGATCCAATAGGAACATGTGAATCTGACCAATAAGCAGTGATGATATAGTTACTTTGAAAAAGTAACTAATCTGATTACTGATTACTCGATTTGGAAAGTAACTAAGTTACATTAAAGGTAATTTTTTTAGTTACTTTCAGCAGCTGATGACAACAACACTCCACCACCTGTGAAAATTACTTTGAGCTTTGCCAAAACTTAATTGCAAGTTATTTTATAATAGTAACATCAACTATGTGTCTCCACTTATAAGGTTGAACTGAAGGGAAGATTGTTTATGGTTACAACAGGACAGAAACAACTTTAGTTATTTGTGTGTGTTTTTCTGTGTTCTAGTATCTGGGAAACTATAAATAGGATTTTAAAGCCCCCCTCCAGCCCCAGCCTCCAGGTTCTGCGTTACAGCCCTGCATTTGGTGTCAGAGCTCAGCACACAGAGCTCCTCCTGCAGCTCCACAGCTCAGATATCCTTCTGCACAGATTTGTGACACTTATCTTAATATGAATTATTATAATGGCGTTTAGTTGCACAACTTTATGGATTCGTTCTTTCGTGGCTGTTTTATTGCGCTGTTCATATTAATCTCAATGTTTGCAGTTTTCTGGAGCGCAACACGAAGCACGACGTCGTTCACAGCAAACATATTAACTTGACATTAACAAAGACACAGCGGGACGGATCATCCGGGAAATGATGGACAGGGAGAGTCTGACTAAGACTAACTGGTCTAAGACATAAAACCCAGACAAATTCTGGGGTTTATGTCTGTTTATTTCTAAGCCCAAAAACCGCAACTCATTAAATCTGCAAGCGACTGTAGAAAAAACAAACAAGCCCAAAGCCGCTTATAATAACCGAACTTGGCGACCAAAACTAAAACTAGTTCCTGTTTTTCCAGCAACGAAATGTGCATCTCGCTCCATTGTTTTCTGTCGCATAGAAACGGCGGTCACTCCCCAAGACGCGTAGAGGAAATAAAATTAAATTAGGAAAGATGATAGTAACGCAAAGTGATTTCGATAACTGTAGTCTGACTACTGCATCTGAAATAGAAACATATTAGATTACTCGTTACTGAAAAAAGTAACGCGTTACTGACATCACCGTCTATAAGGAACATGTGATTTTTTTTTTTTTTTTGAAGTATTATGTGTTTTACTGAGACATGGCTGGCGGATCATATCCGCTCCTCTCTCTGCCAGGCTTCCTGACAGAGATTTTAAGAGTGAGAAAGAAAAGGAGGTGGATCAGCGGTGCTCTCACCAACAGATGGGGTCATCCAGGGTTAGGGTCTTCTCAGCCCAGATATTAAACTCCTGCCAGTCAGTTTCCGTCCGCATTATTTACCAAGAGAGTTCACCGGTGTAATTTTGGCAACTTTTTTTCCCCAATGACAAATATTAAAATATTATAATAAAAAGAAATAATAAAGAATAATTACAGACATTCAGGGTGTTGATGTTAAAGTCTAGAGTAGCGGTTCTCAACGTGGACGGTACCGTCCCCCGGGGTCCGTTCAGAGGACGGCAGGGGGCGCTGGCGGAAAATTTTACAAAAGGGGGACCTTTGGGGGGCGCTTGGTCAAAGGTAAACTTTACACCTTGTATGCACAACAATGCCAGTTTAGACTTTGAGCAACTTGGTAAAACTGTATTGTGTAACATTAAATCATGCTTGGCTGCAACTGTATCGATGGCAGCTCTTCTTCTTCTTCTTCTTCTTCTTCTTCTTCTTCTTCTTCTTCTTCTCCTTCTCCTCCTCTTCAGTGTTTGTAGCTTGTAGCTTCTCTCCTGCTACTAGTAGCTTCACCGCATCAGTTCAGCATCTCACCAGCTGATGACGTTGCTGTGATTCACTTTGTCTGGTATTTTTGTACATATGTTTTGGCAGTTCTGTGATCATGTCAAAGCAGCAACTTATATTAAAAAGTCTTTTATTTCCGTTTGAAAGTTGCCCGCTTCCATGGAAGGACAACAGAAAATCGCTCTTATAAACATGTAATTACTAAAATCACGATACCCTCACTGTGTGTCCCTCTGAAAAATGAACCATTTAAATCAGTGTTTCTCAACCTTTTTTGGGCCAGCGCCCCCTAGAAATAATGTATGCATTTAATATGCATAAATCAATGCCTGAATTTAATATTTATTTATATTATACAAAGACAATTGTTTGTTTTGGATATAATAATTAATGTGTGTTTCTGACCTTTTAGGTTTTTTTGTTGGATCAGAATCGAAGATGGACTTGAATTAATTTATTCTGAGTCAATTGTATTATGTTTTTTTTTTTTACTACAAATCATAAATATAAACTGTAACTGAAAGCACCGTCTCTTACCTGGTGCACAAGCAGAAATCTTGCAGCCTTCAGTCGACTCTGAGCCGATGTTGACCCTTGACCCCTCCTCTGGCTTGGACCTGTTTGTGGCGGACAGGTCTGCCATCTTCCGAGCCGTTTCTGATGGCGGTGTAAAAGTCACATGACCCTGCTGTGTTTACAGGACCAGCTGCAGCAGAAGATCGTCTGTCCAGGTGTGGTCACCTGTCTCACCGCCTCACCTGACGGGGCTTTCCTCGCTGCAGGAGTCGCCGAGGCGGTCTACCTGTGGGAGGTGAGCCTACTGGTTTCCATGGTAGCAATAAGCTTCTGCAGACTGAGTGTGTTTATAAACTCGGTGCTCTGATTGGTCCAGGTGTGCACAGGTAAGCTGCTGGCAGTGCTCAGTCGACACTATCAGGACGTCACGTGTCTGAAGTTCACCGACGACAGCAGCCATTTTGTTTCTGCGGGCAAAGACAACCTGGCACTGGTGTGGAACGTGTGCAGGTAACTCACCTGGTGGTTACCTCGGTAACTGCCGAACCACCTGCCTAACAGGTCACTTCCTGTCTCACCTGTGTCTGTCCCTCAGTGTGGTCCAGATGGATTTAAGCCACGCCCCCGAACCACGCCACGTCCTGTCCCGCCATTCTCTGCCAATCACAGACCTGCACTGTGGTCACATGGGAGCTCAGGCCAGAGTCGCCACATCATCGCTCGACCAGACCGCAAAGGTGAGGCTGAGCGTAGCCCCGCCCCCAGGCAGGAATACATTTGGATTACTGGTGTTAAATTGAGATTATGTTGGTTTTGGGATTATATTCAGATTATACACTAAAATACAGGATTATTCCAGGGAAACAGGACTGTCCTTTGTGCATCTGTCCAGGTGTGGGAGCTCTCCTCAGGTGAGCTGCTGCTGTCCGTCCTCTTTGACGTGGAGATCATGTCGGTAACCTTTGACCCCTCAGAGTACTTCCTGTTCTGTGGAGGACGTGATGGGAACATTTTTCAGGTGTCTCTCTGCAGCCAGGTGAGTGGGAAGGGGGCGGAGTCAGGCGGCCTGGAGGAAACCACGGCAACGCCTCTTGTTAGCCAACAGGAAGTAACGTTCACCTGTAGATGGGACTGAGGGTGCAGAGGTCAGGAAGGGGTCAGCCAGGGGTCAGCCAGGCCCGATCAGGTAGAACTTTCCCTCAACCCGGTACCGTTCTGATGGGACTTTAGCTTCCCATGCATTCCTCACCGAGTCCCAGTGGTCGGGTCTGAGTGTCCAGCGTTTGGTTCTGGTGCCGGGTCCAACCGGCAATAGTTACTGGAAAAGCCCGTCCTGGATTATAAGGGCAACCGATTATTACTGCAGTCGGTCCTTTGAAACAAGAACACGAGACGCATGGATGTTGCCATGACGACATATTCAAGATGTCCGAGCCTGAGTCGGGACTAACTGTTCCCAAACGATCCACTGGAACATTCCCAGCAGGAACATCGGCGCCCTCTGCTGGTCCACATGTGGCAACACATTGGAACCAGTAGGTCCAGTTTGGTCTGGTCCAGTAAAACTAGTTCGATCCAGTTTAGTCCGAGTCAGGCTGGGTTCTGCCTGACGGCGAGAATGGACCCGACTGGTTCTGGAAGTTCTGCTGGGTCTCACTCCGGTTTCTGTCTGCAGAGTCTGAACCGGGAGAAGTCGTTCCAGTCGGACGGCGAGGGAAACCAGGTGTTCAAGGGCCACAGGTGAGTAACCATGGTTACAGTAGAGGCACTACCGGTTCGGGCCCATGGGATGTTCTGACCGGGTTCTCCTTAGGAGCCTGGTCACCTGCCTCTCCGTGTCCATGGACGGGACGCTGCTGCTGTCCGGGTCACAGGACGAGACGGCCCGCCTCTGGGACGTCCAGAGCCGGCAGAGCGTCCGCTGCCTCGCACACAAAGGTAAGCCCCGCCCGCCTCTCTGATCTGCTTCTGGTTCTGACAGGATAAGAGCGGGTCGGATCTGGTCTGGGATTTTCTAATGAACTCCTATAATCCCTGTGGGCGGGACAGACACAGCGTTGCTCCCCGGCCCGGTTCTGCTGTGGGTGGTGAGGATGCCGCTAGAGACGCTCTGATCGGGTTTTCACCTGCCGATCCCGATACCGATCACATGGCTGTTGATGTTTCTCTTTAGGTATAAATGCTACTATGTGATCTGGCAGAACAGAACCACAGATTCATCTAATTTAGGCAAAAACATGCAAAATACCTGCAGGCCCAGTGCAGCAGTTATTCAGTCAAAAAAGCGACATAAAACAGTAAAACATTATTTCACTGTAAGGCTCTCAAAGCCTAAATTATAGACAACATTGCCTGTATCAAATATTGTCAAGTAAAATAGGAAACATTCATTCAAAGTCAAATGCAGGTTGCATTAAAATAATCAACTCTGTTACTAGATCAACCTACCTGACAGCAATAGCATGGCTAGCTGCTTTCTGCTGCTTCTGATTGGCTGTTTCTGGCTGAGTGGTGTAATTCTGCAGAACACCTGGAGGGGGCAGAGCAGCTCCATTTTTTCCAAAGATTATCTGTCTCATGTTAGGACAGCAAAAGTTCTAATACATATGTAAAATCAGCTCACTGTGCTAATTATCTGGGTAGATGGTGACTACATGATAAGACATGATCAGTGG